TTTTAAACATTCAATCATTAAACTTAGCATAATCTGAAACGTTTCTAAATAATAAGTTAAAAATGTATATATACACATTCAAACACTTCAGTATTAAAGAAATGTTTTAATCAGTTTGACTGATGAGGTCTTTCATTTATTCATTTTTTGCCATATACCTTCGGCTCAAATTTTGTGTTTGAATACTGCCATCTCTTTTCTCTTTTAAGAAGTATTTTGCTGAAAACTGGATCACCATTTTTACATTTTCTCTGCTTTTGGTTATGGCAAATTCAGTTTGGTACCTACATTGGAAACTGTACAAATTTCTTGATTTCTGAACCGTTTGAGAGTAAAGATTCATGATGGTTTGAGAGTAAAGATTCATATTTTTCTTCTCGTTCTATCAATTCTAATATGGTTGATATATCACTTTTAATTTCAGGAGTCTTTCTCACTCTAAAAAATACATTTCAATATCGATTTTTCTGGGTCTCACTGCCCTCTAATTTCAATTTCTATTCCTTGTTCCTAGTTTACTTTCTCAACGCAACAGCATTTGAATTTTATTTTCACAGTTGGCATGACAATATTGACAATTTATTTGCTCTGAAATTTTAAACTCTCTAAATGTAATAATATATGTCTGGATCCTTCTATACATGAGTGTTTAACTTCTGTCATAAAACAACACGGGTAGTAAATTCCTATAATAAGCCTACAAATTATTACAAGATTTGGGACCTATTTCAAGTAAACTAAAGATTCCCTTTCAAACATACAAACCTCTCATCTACGGACCCCCCCATCAACGGACTTCCGACGCAACAGACAAAATCTTCAAGCAAAATAAAAAAAAATATGCAGGAAAAAGCATATCCCAAATTGTCAGCGATGTATTTCAAAATATGCGAGCTTAGCGGAACGAGTCGTATTAGTCCTCAAAGTGACCACTTGATGGCAGTGGCGGGCCTTTCAATTGAAAACAAAGTCGGCTGTACCAGTATATGAACTACGATGCATTAGCGCGTGTTTGAGAAAGTAACTGTGAGAAATATATTATTTTTGTTATTTTGATTAATATATCTATATCAAGTATATACTTACTTATGCCATATATACATGTTTATATTATTTACATTGTGATCATAAATACTGTTAGTTACTATAGTGGTTTTATACCTCCAAAATAATCCCTACCCATTTACGGACAATCGGCTTTAACGTACCACTCCTCTCACCTATTAGTCCGTTGATGAGAGGTTTGTCTATATATCCATGATGCTGATCTAGACATAAATCTTGGACCACTGCTTCTGATAATGCAATCAATAAGGAAACAGGCTCAAAACTTTTCTTGTTCTCCATTTCTGTAACTGAAGGAAGCAGCTTGCCTGCTGATTCAGAGAAGGTATCATTTGAAAAAGGAGGACTATCCAGATTAAAAATAACTTTTCTTCGTGTGAGTTCATTCGTATGAAGTAGACAAACTAACCACTAAGATCTCTTACAAATAAGTTTCAATCGTCCTTATCATTCCCGTGTTAACGCCAGTGTTCAACTTTCATGAGTCACCTCCCGCAGCCAAGAGAGAGTTGTCAAATTGTCTTTCCTTCAGTCAATTATAAACAACCTTTGCAATCTGTTCTGCATGACCGGCATATTTCCTTGCCTTTGTTGGTGTAAAATGAAATACATATTCACTTTCAGGTTTACTCATGACACAGTAATTCTCGTCTTCGATTTGTGCTGAGTAGGCATGTTCTTGGCCTCTGCCTTCTGCTTCAACCATTACATGTTTTATATCAATTCGCCCGTCAAACAGTACACAGGACATTCCTTTTGCTTTAAATTTTAATATCAATTCTTCAAGTTCTTTCATTATTTTTTTCTACCTTCTTTACTTTGTTTTTATCGATTATTTTATGTGAGATTTTTTCTGTTAATAACCGCTGCATCTCTAAGGGCTACACTGGCTCGAGTTGCTGTGAGGCTAAGCCCAACTCAATACCTTACACTGGCCATTGCAACATTTTAATATTGTCATAATTTTTTGTCCAGTTGAATGAAATGAAGAACCAGTCTTGTCATTGTGAGTGACAGAATCAGGAGTCTAATCTGTTATAGCACGTATGATATAATCTTTATTTCTTCTGCCCGCAAAATTTCCCCAACATATTTCTTCATTTTTTTCCTCTGCCACTACTTCAACTTACTCTTTTTCTATTCTTCTCTTCTCTGTACTTCTTTCTGGTTCAAGTTTTTTAAATCTTTTTTCCTGTTTCCGGTGTTCTGGAATATCAGGAGAACCCATTTGATGGAACTCTTTACATCCAACTTTGTCGCTTTGACCTTTAATGAATGCTGATTCTACACTGAAATGTTTTTTCTCTAGAACAAGAGCATTTTATATGGACAGTTCATAGCTACACGAGTTAATACAAGGAATTTACAATTTAAGATGTCAAACAATTTTTCCATTTTCAAAAGAAATATTTCCTTTGCATTTGTTTTACTTTTCCCTTTTAGCTTTTTCATAATTCTAAACTTTTCATTTATTGCTGATGGTGTAAACAATGCGTTTGTTTAGCCCCTGATCAATAAGATTTAGAATAGATGTCTTGTAAAATCATCTTATTTGTATACTTTATCTTCTCACAACTTTGTTCGTGTAAAAACCAAATCTCATTTTTTTTCTCTTATTATTGGTAGTTTTGGAGACAAGTAGTTTTATCCAATGCCTACAAAACTACAAAAAGCTAGTTTTTACATTTATTCCAGTTTTGTTTTTGTCATTATTTTTGTGCACTCTGAAATTGAAATAAAAATAACGATTTCTAACATTTTTATATCTAATCAATAGAAATAATCAATAAAAATCAATTTTTTTCAAAATCACGAGGTACAAATTTATTTATCTATATCAATAGTAAAAGCAAGCTTAGTATTATTATAGTGAGTGAAAGTTTTTATCTATATGACAGTAGGAATAATTTACAGATATTTAACAATAGTCAATACTTTTCATACTGAAAACACAATATTATGAAATAATAATCAAGATACAAGATAAAAACCGATTAAATAAATAAAATAAACGTTATTGTTCTGGAAAAGTACAGTGTTATAAATTAATTTAAAAATAACGTACCTCAAATTTCAGCTTCTGTTTTGTTGAAGAAACCAGACTGACTAACAAATAGCTTTTTACACTTTTCTTTTGAAAGACTGGGAGGAATGACTACTGATAACAAACAGCTCCTAAGAGGTCACGGGCGGATTTTATAATAAGATCATAAAATCTTATAAAAGGTGGTGAGTTAAATATCTTAGTAGTTTTAGGCTTTGAAAGTTTTTTTAATAATGTGCCATGAAACGCAAAAATCCTATTTTTGTAATGTAAAACAAAAAGAAGGCACATGTCAAACTCCTTTTCATTGAATCTTGGCGACATTTTAGGATTGGTTGTACATACATTTCTTTGTACAGAAAACAGCTATTAAAGTATTTTATCAACCTAAGATAAATACAATAAGTCACAAAGTATATATAATAAACAAATAAAAAAGGTCCTTACATATGATAAAAGTTAAGTAGGCAGAACTTGGTGGGAATAAATACTGCTGACTTGCGTTTTTAGAAATTGTAGGAAAAACTGACCTTTTCTATATTTCATAAAATTTGTTAAATGGGGCGTATTATTTTGGAAACTATATTTCACAGACTAATAGAATTAACTATTTTTATAATGAATTAGTAAGTTCCCTTTCTCTTGAACTATTTCTGGTTCTGTGTGAATTCTAAAAAATAGTGTATTTCGACACTTTTTGGGACCTTGATTGACTTAAGAAAAATTATTTGAATTTTAAAAAAATTATATTTTTGTTCAACATACTGAAATAAAGCATCTTAATTCATTTGATTTGAAATATTATGAAAATATAAGACACCAGATTGTACAAAGTTAGTTTAGAGACAAATTCTTGGAGACTTTACAGAATAGTGTTTATTAATTCGAGTATCATACAAATATAGTGATTATAGAGAGTTTTGTTTGAACAGCATTTAGCAGACTATCAAACACATTGGACCTTTGGTCATGATGTTGAAATTTGAAGCACTGATCGTTCAAAGCTTTTGTCGTGCGTGTGATATATTGTTGTTACGATATATTGATCTATGAATGGGATGCCACCCGGTCAATGTCTTGTTTAGGTGGACCAGTGGAGCCAACACATACCACGTGAACAGACCACACACCATTATGGAACTACCACCAGCCTAGACAGTGCCTTCTTGATAACTTCGATTCATTCGAACCCTACAATGGAACCGTAATTCATCGGACCACGCTACACGTTGCCAAATTTACATGGTCTAATTAGCGATATCAAGTCCCCTGGTGATGTGATGTGTAGGGAGGGAGTCATGGTGTTAAAATCCTCCTCCCATATCCCATGGAAGCTAAGGAACTGACCTCCTGGATGTGCGTCTGATACCTCATGCATTAGCAATAAGAATATGATTTAGGCTAATGTCGCTTTGTCTGTTATTGCAAATAATTCTTACCAAATGTTTCGGGTCACAATCATTAAGGAATCCATAGTCGGCCACTGCATTGTATACGCTGGGCGTCTTCTATCAGTCAATCCCGATAAACATGTAAACACTGTAAATTGAGCAATGTCAAATGTCCCAACAATTTCAGAATAGAATGTCTCGTCCTTTCGGCACCCACCTTCATGACCCGTTCGAACTCCAATAATTTGATATTCACATTGATTCACACATTGTGCAACTGATAGAGATCTGGATATTTCCATGACGTCAATGTATTGTCGTGCCACTTACCATGAGATGTATTATACTAACCCATGAATTTTGAAATTCAATGTCTATGTCTATGGATGGGTGTTAAGAAAAACATTTTCTTTTGTTGAATATTATTAAATTTTAATGGGAAGAATTTTAAATGTCAGTGTATCAGTCTTTCATTGGAAAAATTCAAAATAGCTAGATATCTAGTTCGTGAGATAGATAGATAGATAGATAGATAGATATGAGACGAAATGAGAATCTTAAAATAAAACACATCAACATTTCAAGGATATTCACCACATTTTCGCTTCGTTTTAAGGACAGATAAAGCATTACCGATCATTTTAAGTACTGTCATATTAAATACACTTTATAAACTTTATCAAAATTTATCTGCAAAGCATTCTGTTTCACAGAAAATTAAACCAACCGATGTTGTTAAAATTTTCATGGTATATCTAAATTTAAACTGATATTGATTTATTTTTAATTTTGGGTAAATACAAATTGTGTTATAAAAAGATATCACATTGAAAGAGGAAAAAATGAACATGATGGAAATGCGATATTAGAAATTACGAAAATGTTTAATAGTTATTACAGAACACTCAAAGAAGTAACTTAAAACATCGGCAACATAAGAACAATAAAAACTCCGGCTTTACGAATGTTTTAAAAAGATTTGAGAAAAATGATTTGTATTAAGCAAGAAAAAGTGATTTGTGTTACAATAAATATTTCAAGATGAGTTTGTGAGTGTAATCGTAGAAGCAAAGAGGAAACGTATACATTGGACTAAGAAGTACATGAAATGATTTTTCAAGAATAATTTTTTATGATGAAAGTAGAGCTACATTGGATGGACGTGATGACTGGGTCAGATTTTTGTTCTTTATATAAATGCAAAAATCTTTCTCAATGTCGCTTTTTTAGACGGAATAAATATATCATTTATCTCAACCATAATTTTTATTGTTAATTAGAAAAAAAGGGAGAAATAAATTGCTTATACTTTTGGTTGAATTTTTAGATACTTATTCAGCTTAACTGGGCACAGTAGAATCCGATAGTTTGGTTGGTGGAAGGAGAAGGTACTTGTTAATAATCGAAATTGAATTCATTTCAGTCGTAAAAAATTACGATACTAACACGCTATCGCAAGGACCCAACTTTGTCTTATTTTCCAAATAAAAAGGAAGCTTGAAAGAAAAATATAAAAAGGTAAAAGGTGAAAACGAAAGACAGAGGTGACAAGAATGAAAATGTGAGATAGGAATATGAAGGAAAGGGAAGTAGAGGCGAAAAAGAGACAGCGAAAGAAAGGAATAGAAAGAAGAAGAGAAAAAGACGAAATAAAGGCGAAGGTAGGTGCAGCATGGGAGGAGGAGGAGTCAAGCTGATGGAGACAGGTTAAAACTGGTCTGGAGGCAGAGACCTAGAGGAAGAAGGAAAAAGGAAGAATGAAAATCACAAAGACAGACACTTTCGTTTCAAAAACTTAGCATCGATTTTTTTTTTCTATCCGTGTTATCTGATTGTCAAAATCGGGTCATTGATTCTGTGATGCTGAAGTTGTTAATTTGATTGGTAAGCCAATGAAAGCAGTATCAGCTGAGCATCAACAACTCCGTTTTAAACCTCACCTTCTGCCTCTAACCCTATGTCTAATATCATCTCCCTGATCACCTTGACACTGTTTTTCATTTATCATAACTTTTTACTTTTTTCTTTCAGTATTCCTGTTGTTTACGAAGAAAGCTGAAGTCTTTTTCTAATCGCAAGTACAAAACGTAATCACTCAGCAAAATAAAAAAAAATAAAAAAAAACAAACACATATTGAAAAAACTGCGTACGTAAAAGCGATGCAAGATTTCTATCAACAACAAAATGAGCGCAAAATGATTTTCAGCTTGTATATGACCTAACCTCTACAGTGAGTTTACCATAAAGGAGCTGGAAACCTTACCAGTGCCTCTTATTGGAGTGAGTAATCGTAACAATTTAAAATACGCAGATGAAAACGTGTTGATGGCAAACAGGGGAAAAAACTCCTGCACCCCTTGACGGGACAGTGAAGGAAAACGAAAAAGGTTTTCATCAAAAGGGGAAAAAATTGGAGAAGAGAAAATAAAAAAGATACAAAAGTTTAAATATCTCAGAAGTGTTTTAACAGAGGTTAAAAAATCCGACACCGAAATTCAAAGCGCTTTGAATTAGCAAAAAATGCGCTAAAAAGTTCTATAAAACAAAGAACAGGAACAAAGAAAAAAGTGCTGAACTGTTATGTATGTCAATCCTCTTGTAAGGCCGTGAATCTGTAAACAGATGAAGAGAAAACTGTAGGCAACAAAAATATGGATCTACAGAAAGATACTGAGCATTCCATTGACAGAGCGCATAAGCAACGAAGAAGTCTTATGGAAAGTGAAAACAAAAAGGACACTTATCGAAATTTCTTGACATGTATTGATGAAGGTGAGCTTGGAGAATTTGACATTCACAGGGCATATCGAGAGTAAGAAGGACTAGGGAATGCTGAAGACCACCTTCCCGACGGGCTTGTGTGAATGGATGGAGGAACGTGGGGCGGGAAGCTTGGCAAAGGGACAAACGTTGCTAAGGACAAAAATGGAGAGGAGGTTGTGGAAAGACCACGACCTGAATGGAAACGGCACGTAGAAGAAGAAGATATAAACTGCAATGAAATGAAACACATTTTCTTTTAATGCTTTTCACATTCAACCTCTGATATGATGATCTTCGACCACTTGAAACTTCGATATTTTCTTCTTCCACTTCAGCCTTCGATGTCAGCCTTCCTCAATTCAGTGTCCAGTTTGCTCTTTCTTAACTTTAACCGCCAGTCTTTTCCCAATCAACTTCAGAACTATGGACCTTCGAAACTTCAGTCAATGGTTCATGACTCCCACAAAACACAAAACTCAATGTATTCCTCTCCGATACAATTTTTATAACTTGAACTTCTCTCTCTCTCTCTCTCTCTCTCTCTCTCTCTCTATGTCGCTCTCTATCTCTCTCTCACACACACACATACATACATACATACATACATACATACACATACACAAAAACACACACGGTCTTTTACGTCTTCACTCACCAATATGTTTCTCTCTAAAAGTTTCATCTCTCACTTCGACCTCCGAAATCATTCATTCCCAAATCAAAATAAACTATGTCCCTCTCCAATTTCATCCTACGATTTGGCCCTACCCAAATCAAACTCCAATGTGATTCTTGTCTAATTTTATTATTCGATATCATTTTTTCCACTTTCTCCAACCATATTATTTTCCCAATTTAGCTACCAATATGTTTCTCTCATTTTAATCTTAAATATGTTCATCTCCGACTTCAACCTCGAATATGATTCTTTCCAATTTCAGCCTCTGATTTGGTCCATTCGAGATTCAGTTGTCAAGCCTTTAAAATGATGCTTTCACATTTCAGCCTTCTATATGCACTCCCTATTCAGCTTCTATTGGGATTTTTATTTCACCTTTCGATATTGTTTTCTCCAACTTCAGCCATCAATATCTGCCTATCAAATTTCTGCCTTTCAATTTCAGTATGAGTGGCACATTTATAAAATGATACGAATGAGAAATGCTGGTAATAAAAACTGGATTTATGCACAAAATTAAATACAACGGAATAAAAACTAAGCTGACGGATTAAAAATGATGTTTCCACTTTAATGAAAAGCAGTAAGTAAAACATAAAAGTCCGAATAAATCAGATATCAACTTTCTGCGTCAAGTAAGAAAAAGAAAGAAACAAATAGGAAGAAGGAAGACGTCAGAACCGGATAACACCAGGTGCAATTTTATGCCTTAATTTTATGCTCTTGCTTATTTATTAAACCTCTGATCAAATTGCCAAACCCCCAAATGTGAAACATTAACGCTTCAGTGTTAGAGGTCAACAATAATTTATGCAATCTCTTTATTTATTGCATCTAGTAATATTTTTAGTATTGAAAACGTCGGAAAGATTCAGAAACTTTATCTTCTGCGTTTACAACTCTTCCTCTGTCAGTTAATGGGGTAATATGCATTTTGGTCTTTATGCCTCTATGGAGGATTGGCTGCTTAATGGGGTTGCGCAAGCTTCCATTTTCTTTTACTGCAAGATTCGGCAATAGTTTTTCCACATTTACAAATAGTTCTACGCATCATTACAAATGTCATTACTTTAATGTGAATCAAATATCTAAATGGCATCTTCTGAATGGATTTAAGATTTGTTTGCATGACACAAAAGATGAATTGCAAAAACAACAGAATAACTTTCATTACCGACTCATTTTTTGTTGTTCGTGAGACCAACGTTTACCACGGTACGCACACAAATACGCACGCATGCAAACACACACGCATACAAACACTAATGTTCATACATATGCAGACGCACATTATTCATTACTTTGAATAAGATAAACTCCATTTCATTAGTATTAATCAAGTTTCTTTTTAATCATTTCACCTCAAGCAAGGCAATAAAGCCATTAAGACGCAAGTGTGAGGGAATATGAGAAAAAACAATATTACAGAGAGAGAACAATAAAAGAACAGGAATTAAGAAGACAGAAGATAATGATTGACATTGAATTTATATTTTAGAAGATCAAAGTTTATTGGAAAGCAAGAGGAAGAGAGTTCCACAAGCGAGAGGTCCGTGAGAAGAAATTGTTAGCATAAATCATACGGTTAAATCTCGCCATTTCAATTGGAAAATGATGAAAACTTGCCGCCAATATAGTACTGCACTTAAATTCATAAAGTGTAGTTACCATAGAATAAAGTTCATCGCAACAATTACCACGAAATTATTTATAGCAAAGGCACAGGGAAGCTACGGCGGTGGGAAATGACTGAAGCCAAGATACCAGGTCAGGACCAATAACATTGCAGATTCTTCTTTGTACTTTATCAAGATTACATGGTAGAAGAACCAGACCAGATGTGGCAACAATATTCAAAGCAAAGACGATTTGTGGACATATAAATATGTAAAATAGTTTCTGTCGAGAAAAATTGTCTATCACAATAAAGTGAACCCACTTTTCTAGCAATAGACCTCGCAATTTATTCAATACATTCTTTCAACTTCATGTCAGCGGAAAACGTTATCCTGTGAAGGTGCAACGCGTCAATCTCCTGAAAGTTAGCATCAGCCATGCAAATGGAAGGTAAAATGAGTTTTCTCAGACATATTAAAAGAGTGCGGTTTCGTTATAGAGGCGTTAAAATTAGGAAGCCATTCTTTGTCCCAGTTAACTAAATTTTTAGATCACCTCCCAAGTTAGCCTTATCGAACCGATCAGACTTACTATTAAAACAGGAGTATATGATTGTGTCATCAGCATAGATACTGAGTTCAGAACTGATGACATAAGGAAGGTCATTAATGAAAATTAGGGACAATGTAGATCCAAGGATAGAGACCTGGGAAACACCTGAATTAATGTGACCGTTCAGGACAACTTTCATTTCACGATTTGATAAGAGAAATTTAATCAGTCCAAAAATTCGCCCAGAAATAACACCACCTTTCAACTTGTGAAGACCAACTTGCCAAACCATGTCAAATGCCTTCGAGATATCCAAAGCAACAGCCCGGGCTTCATTATTCTTATCTAAAGCTTGATAGACTATTTCAACAAAAATCGTTAATACATCAGTATTTGACCTAGAGAAGCGGAAGCCATATTGCTTATCTGAAAGAAGATCTAGAACATGTTTAACAAATTCGGATTTGATTATAGCTTCTAGTATTTTATCAACAAGAGGTAGAAGGCTAATATTGATCATTTTTTCTGTGGTTGTCTCCGAATGTGAGAAAAGCAAGTTCGTGCCTAAAATGTTCATATTTTAGTGTACAGAAAAAAAGTATCCCATTCTGTTTGCTGTGGTGACGACATCTCTTTTAGGTATGAAATGAAATATGACAATCTGTAAGCCGAATGTTCCATGAACTCTAGGATAAGAGAATCATCTCAAAGCCTCCAAGAAATTCTAGACTTGAAAAATAAATATTTATATGAATTCTTCATAAAACGTATTTTAAAATAGACCAGAAGAAAGTATCTTTTTTAACCCCCCCTTCGATGATGTTCGTATAACTAGTTTTTGTCTAATGAAAATCAATGCAGCAAAAAAAGACAAACTTACGCTGATTCGTAAATCTATAAAGCAACTATTTGTTGCTCGACGAAACAGTTTAGATATCAGTCATTTTTTAATCTGTGCATAATTTGATAGTATGATGACTCTGAAGTAGTATTTTTATGTGACTTTAACATCTGAATAGTTTTATCAAAGACAAAATTATTAAACCTTATTAAACAATTTCCGGTCAATATGTCAATGACAGAAATTTACCTAATTTATCAAAAGGCAGGCTTACATTCA